GCCGTGGATCTTATAGGTCCCAGTAACAAGGACATATTCTCAAAATGCATGCACATGCTAAAATAGGTCACTGTTTGCATAAAATGAGCTGTATGTTGGCAGATGCTATAACTGTATATGCAGATAACGATATAAGTGCAAAAATTTGACTGGTTATGAAAGTTTCCATTTGCACATATTGCACCTGTATGTTTCCGAATACATCAGATAGATACCTACATTTCGTTTTTTTCCACAGTATTCTTACCATATTCTCTACATGTCCATATAATTATTATTAGAACATCAAAGTGACATTACTTAATTTCACAGAGTAGTGAAAAGGGTGACCTCTTTACTTGCATTTGTTTGTACATATTTCCCAGAACTATTTAAATGTGTATTTTGGGATGTTTAGCCATTTCACTTGTTTTTGATTGTCTTAATAGAACTGAGATACTAGAGAAGTGAACATGTTCCCTAGAAAGTCTCTCTTTGTTTTCTTTAATGATGTAAAACAACAGTGACAGTTGTTACACAGTATAATGATTTTTCCTTAGCAGGTGGGAAATGGCAGAGCCAGTGAGAAGAGACCACCTGGGAATGTAAAATAATGTAATGCAAGTAAGTGGAACACCCCTCTTAAATAAAATTAATCAATCTGATTTTCAAGAACAAAATACCTGCGCTGCTGCTTCAGTCTTCTGAAGTTATTCATAGGTTGGGAAAGAAAGGCAGGGAAACTGAAGGAAACAACGACGCAAACAAAGCAGATATTGAAAGCAGCAGCACAAAACGAATATGTTATCATGCAGAGAAGTTGTGAGTAGCAGGAAAAAATTAAGATGTATTTGTTAGAACTGTACTGTTGATGAAACTTATTGCATCTGGCTCTACGAATCCTGAGACCACTAAATCTGGGCATTACAGATCTAGTTTCCCTCACAAGTATTCCATGACAGTAATCTATGGATGACCTACCAAAAGTCATGAATAGTATATAGCTCCTTAAACTGATTTGTAATCTACAGCTTTACTCACAAACAGCACCACACGAACACGGGTACATCACAAACAAGCACCAATACCCACACAACGCATCCTCTTTGCTTTAACAGCATAATCAGAAATACTATTACATCACTTAAATTCCTATTGCCTACACTTTAAAAACTAAATACAGTCGAGAAACTAATGTGCAAACGTGATGTAGTAACTTGTGTTTTACACTTTGAAAGAGGCTTCTTGAGTTTCTGGTAACACAGTCTTTTGTCACAGCACCATGGCAGAATCTGTTCAGGAATCCGCTTTTTCAGTCTATTAGGGCCCGATTCGGGAGCATGAGGAGACAGCATCCAGCTGAGAACGTCTACCAAAGGTTGCACGATCGATTTCTTGAAGCAGTAAGGAGGGAACACAAAGGACCTTATTTTTTTATTACACTGGAAAGTGCTGACAGCTCTGCTCAGGTCGCTTTCCTGTCACTGTCTTAAAAGCAACAAATAAAGGTTGCAACAGCATGTATGTAACAGCATCTATAGTACAAAGGGAAAAAAAGCAGAGAGACAATTAAGAGGAGGAAAAAGATGAAAAAAACCCAACGCTGCTTATTTAATGATTGGCATTTTCGGAAGAGCCCTGGGATATATTTACACTGTGTTCAGAAGCTGTGACTACAGCATGTTTAGTAGCCACCTTAACCCAGCTAGGTCAGGTAAGAAAAGCCACGGAGCTCTAAGAATGAGCTCAAACTGCCATCCCTGATGGAACAGCTGAATAATTGTCTTCCAAGATTGTACAAGATGTATCCTGTGAGACTGGATGTTTATGTTACTGTTGCCGATCTTAAGTGTCAGTCAACAAATTTTGCCTGCTGCCCTTGCTGAAGTCAGTGGCGAACTCCCATTAACTTGCAGAGAGATGTTTGGGACCTAGATTTTGAAAACTGGGTGGTGGCATGGGTTGTCTCATTGTTGAATGGACTAACTCCTACTCAGGTATCTCTTTTCTTTCTCACAGGATTAGTATCAAATGAAGCCAAATATGTGGCTTCATATATGGAGAAGGGTGGCAGGGGCAGAAGATTGTTTTGTGGGTGCTGTTGAACACAACACAGAGCGGAGTCTCCTCTGCATGTAAATCAGAAGGAATTAATTCTACAAAGAGACACTGAGGGAAAACCACCAAAAACCTGACACTGAGTTCTTAATGTATATTTCCTGCCATTTATGAAGAATTATATTAAAAGATAAATGCAAACACGGTGGTTAAAAGTTAAGCATAGTATAATGGAGTGATTTTATTTACACCTATAATGGTAAATTTTAACATATATGTAGTATATGTTACAATAGCAGCACTCACGACTCGATTAGGATCTAAGTTACTGTATTGATTTATTGTGCTCTAGATTTATTGAGGTTTTGGCAAAGATTTTCTTCTTCAAGCATCTCCTGAGAAATAACTAACTGAAAACAATTAAATATTGTGGCCTAGTGATAATTAAAAAGTACGCACTGGGGCCAAAATCTAAAGGTCATGATTACTCTGCTGATATGCGTAGATTCTGTTAAGGCTTAAGTTTGGAGTTGTTTGGGTGTTTTTGACTGTGTAGTTACCAAACCACCAGGCCTTCTTTTTTTATGTTTGCATTTCTAAGTAAAATGATTGGCAATAAATGTAGGGTTGCAACAGCTTGAGTCCAGATCATGGCAGAATCTCTTTCTCTGTCTTACAACAAGACAGAACACAGTTACAGCAGCTCTCTAAATGCTATGGCACAGATGTTGTTACTTACATGTTTTAGCTGAGTAACATTACCCTACAATAAAAACTGAGACTGAAAAGCTATTGACCGCAGGGAAAAAGTGGATGGGCCACGTTTTACCTTCCTTCAACATTTGTTTGAATGGTTCCAGTTATGACGTGTTTAGACACCCATATTATACAAAGCAACTAGAGAAGAATCCTAATGGACTTAGGATCTTCACTACTGACAACTGACTTTGCTCTGATCTAACAGGAGCATTTAAACGTGGCTGGGCAGAGCACGCACATGTCTCAATTGACTTTTTGATTTAGCCTCACATGTATACCTCCCTGTGAAATACATCCTCCTATGTGTATGCATCTCACTGCTCAGAGTAACAAACTAAGTGACATTAATGGCTTTCTTGAAAGACCTTTTTCCCCCCAAATAATAAACAGATAACAACTGTGTATTGAATTTTAACATTTCCATTCACCAAAAAAATCCCTAAATTCTTGACAAACCGATACAGAACTGTGTTGCTTTGTTCACCAATGAAATACGGTTACTTCTATGATTAAGTAATTAATTAGAGCTGCACGGTGCAAGACAAAATAGCAGAAATCCTAATCTGCAGCTCATAATAATGCAAGCCATCTCATTAAGATAACAGTGGCAAGAGTAGAAATGGGATTACTATATTGAAATGGGGAAGGATTGCAAGACCTGGCTCCAACTTATAGCCTGATCAAGGCCCACTGAAATTAAATGGGAACTTTAATCCATTAGGCATTAAAAATAAAGAAATTGTAATCTCCTCCAGCTGAGAATGCAGGAAAAGACACTGCATTCTTTGGCAGTGCATGTAGGTCAGCTTTTTCACCCTAATTGCAATTTTTGACATACTGGTCTTCCCAATCTGTCTTTAAGGGTAATTGCATTACATTATTCCCATATAAATAAAAAAATAAATAGTAAATATATTTTAAATACAGATATTGATTTTATAGTTCTTTTAGTACAAACCTATGTTAGCATTTTCTTTAGCTTTCAAGTGCTGTGTCATATATATAATACATATAAAACATCATATAATTGCAACTGTAAGTGCTAGTGCAACTAGTGTTGTGCAACCCATTTATTTCTACAGCTACAAATCATTTGGGCATATACATTATTTTGTTAACCAGGAAAAGAAGCAATTTTGAGTTTTGTTGTCAGGTTATTCTTAGGATCAGTATGCCATCCAAGGTTTGCATTCAGTTTGCAGGGTTTGTAGTGAAAAATTCATCAAGGAAAATAGATTCTCCATTCTCTGAAATATGAATGTTATTGTGCAGAAATGCTGCTGTAAGTAATTAATTTTTAAAGAAAGCTTTTGTATCACTGAACAATACTTATCTAGCAATGCTGTACGGTGAAGAAAGCATCTGCCTGCTGTATCTTTGCTATATAACTTTTCTATCCAAGTCTTCTCCATGGCTCCACTCATCTTCCCTGTGGCAGGGAAAGTATTGACAAGAAGTGACATGTAAATCAGTAAGGAGACCAGCTCCTGGCCACAGACTGAGCTCTGAAAGGAAGGGTCAAATTCAGTTCTCATTTACAGACATGGACATGCCACTAGCTGAAATGAGCCAGTGAAACTGCAGGCTGAATATACAGCTATCTACAACTATCATTATATGCATATGAAGACGAAAGAGCTCCAAGATACAGGTATTTCTAATACATGTTACTAGAACTACTAGATGTGGTTTAGGTAAAAAATCCCAGATTTTGCCTTTGTGCAGTGTAGTGACACGTCTACGACACCCTCCCCGCTAAGTGCATCGCTGCATGAAGACTTGTTTTTGCAGGTCTCTCTTTAAACCCTACTGGATGCATCACTGTCTCTTCTTTGCACGTCCTTGCAATTCTAGGTTGCCTTTTTTTTCTCCTGTGTAACCACCAAATTAGAAGTTTGATAATGCCCCTTTCTCTCTCTTTCTTGAATAATCAGATTTTGCTTCTTATTACAGCTATGTATCTACCATATCAGATTCAATCACTTCCTCCATTTTTTTTTTCACTGACCCATTTTTTTTTTTTGACCACATGCATCCCTCCCAAAGCCCCAGTGTATTTTCTTTTTCACCTGACTCCCAGCTACGTTAAGGCTAGCATTAGTGGTACCACTGGCTTTTGTAAATAGCCTCTCTTGACAAATAAGTGAAACCGCAGGCGCCCTCTTCCATCGCCAGCAGAATGTGGCCCTGGAGAGTGTTACTCTCTAGACAAAGACACTGAAGAGAGGAAACTCAGCTTGGTTGGGTTGCAGCAAATCAGTCAGGAAACACACAGTTCCCGAGAAGCCTTCATACAGACTATATACACTTTCTAATGCCCGGGAACCAGCCTTAAATTCTTCTGTAAATAAGAACTCTGCAAACCTAAGAAATAGGAAAAAAAAAAAAAAGAGAGTTTGTTATTATTTAGTGTCCCTGTATGTCTACTTACTTGTTGTTTGAAAGCATCATTTTAATAACATTCAAGGATTAAAAAAAGTAGAACGTTCATTATTTAACCTTATGTGGAAATTTTATACTCTCTGATTTTCACGATAAACTTAATTCTGTGAGATCTAGAAAAGCCAAACCTTTGCGATCTGTACATGTGTTATGCTTCTTGTAGAGTTATTAACTTCTTCTGATGTCTGTAAGACCTATTATTAACCGAATAGTTTTTAATAACTTTAATCTGGGTTGTTATGTCAGTAGGATGCAAGCAATGTTCCGCATTGATGCAACAAATTCTGTCCTGATGAAGTAACTACACAAATAAAATGTTCTCACTTCAAAGCAAACGGCTGAAAATAAGTCACCCTAATTACTATAACACTTCTCCTCATTACTCTATGCTGTAAGGAAAACAGTAACAAACACTGAATACTATCTTTTAAAACATGTATAGTAAATTACAGAAATAAAATTAAAGATAGTTGCAGCACTGTGACAGAATTTTCAGTGGGATATACTTGCTTGCATCAGGACAAAATGGAATTAACCCCACTAGCTCAGCCGAATAGCACAATGTCAAACTGGCTAAAGCTGGGAATGATAAATTAAAAAACAGTGAAGTAACAGTAAAGCAGGCCCTATACTTATTTTCCGTGCTTAGTAGCAAGGGATAGTGTCCAATGCTCTGAAAACCATCTTGAAACTTCCCGGGATTACCCTGAATCCAGAAAGGTAGGAACGCTAACCTTTGTGCCCTGTAAATGTATTTTGAGTTTCCAGTGAGCCTGTACAGCAGCAGGAACACGTAAGCGCTACCGGCCACTCCATGGCATATTCCAGGTCCCTTCTTCAACAGGCCTTTCTGCCAAGTTAGCTCTCCACAGCGGATACAAGTGTCCAGATACTGAGGCTTCTTGGAAACCAGGTATGCTTTGGCAAACAGGTATGCAATGCCTAGGAAAACAGCAGTGAGATTGTCTTTTGTAGTAAGTAAGCCAAGGGTTTCATAGAACACACAGGAACATAAATATTAATACACTAAAAACCTGCAGTCTCGTGCTCCACACATGTCAACGTTACATATCTATATGCTACATACGGAGGGGAGAGTATCTGGTATGCTAAAAAGCATATGGTAAGACGTACTTAACCACTCCCCCTGACAACACCACTTTCAATCTTTTCAATGCATTATTGAATTTTGGGGTTTACTCTAACATTCCCAGTCTTTCATCAATTCAAAACAGTAGTCACATTTTTGCCTTTAAAAGAGTAAACTCTTAGCACTGTCTTCTATTTGTTTCAAATCCCCATTCGCCTCACCTATTTACACTGACAGAAACACAAGGATGGGCAAAGTAATTTCTTACATTAGCAATTTTTTACTGAATGAGAAAAAGAAACTTGCTTTTTTTTTTTTTTAGTGGGGCCCATATTGCTGTATTCTAGTTATAAAAAATTATACATACTAACTTCTGTTAAAAAACCCCAAACTTTGGCTTATTTTTAGAGGGGATTCAAATAATTTAATCATAATCTTCAAGAGAGTACTGCACAGCTCAGTTCATGGTAACTTTAAAAGAATGCATACGACACATAAACAAATCAAGCGCCTAAGGAAATGTTTAGAATAGCTCACCTGTGGTCTGAATATAACACACACTGAAGTAGCTGAAATGTGTTCTTGTAAACTACATTTGAGTTATTACCCAAGTTACCCAAGAACAGTGATGGGATACAGGATTTTCTCGGGAAGAACAGCAACAACTAATGAATTTACATGTCTCTAAATGTCTCCTAAAGTAACTTTTTTATGCCCTTTGGGATTTTGTCACTTTTGTTGAGCCTCACTGCATATGTTTCCACAACCCAAGCTAAAGGCCACTCTCAAGATACTTAAACAAAGAGGGCATCTTCCCTGCAGGCTTCATCACTAGGCCAGCCATGCTGTAAAAATAATTTTTTCCTTGTAAAAATAAAAAAGGTTGTTAAGCAAAAGCTGGTTTCGTTTCAGTTCATTATAGTGTGAAAGCAAGAAGCTTGTTCCTTAATCATACCAACAAAAAGGTAATACATGAGCAGAAAGCTCATTTAAGGGATGTTAATTATAATGTACTCTTTGTAACAGAGCACCTTTAAAAGCAATGCATCAATGCTCATGGACATTCTTTAATAAAACTAAGTTTTTCTGTAACCTTCTAGGTTCATGCTACCAAGCCAGTATGAGCAGTTAGCAATAAAATTCTGCCTGGGGGTAAAAGCAATTTCAATATTATGCTGGTTTTGACTGGGATAGAGTTAAATTTCTTCACAGTAGCTTGTATGGGGCTATATTTTGGGTTTGTGCTGGAAACAGTGCTGATAACACGGGGATGTTTTCATTACTGCTGAGCAGTGCTTACACAGAGTCAAGGCCTTTTCTGCTCCTCACCCCACCCCACCAGCGAGCGGGATGGGGGTGCACAAGAGGTTGGGAGGGGGCACAGCCAGGACTGCTGACCCCAGCTGGCAACAGGGATACCCCACACCATATGATGTCCTGCTCAGCACATAAACCTGGGGAAGAAGGAGGAAGGGGGGGACGTTGGGAGTGATGGAGTTTGTCTTCCCAAGTCACCGTTACGTGTGATGGAGCCCTGCTTTCCTGGGGATGGCTGAGCACCTGCCTGCCCATGGGAAGCAGGGAATGAATTCCTTGCTTTGCTTGCGTGCATGCGCGGCTCCTGCTTTACCTATGAAACTGTCTTTATCTCAACTTCTCACTTTTACCCTTCCAATTCTCTCCCCCATCCCATGCAGCATTACTTGTCAAAAGTTGCTTATGTATAGGATTAGATTTTGAACTGACAGACATCAGCCCTACCTCACAAACCCAAACTAAGGATTGATACTCTTCCTCTCTGAAAAGCAGTTTTGTATGGATGGCTTTCAGAAAAAATACCCCTTGCTAGTGCCAACTCCCCTTCACTTTAAAATACTTTGGTCGAATTTTTGCATTACCCATGTAATAAGTACAGCTTAAACTTTGATTCTGATGAGGTGAGGAAAAAGCTATTCTGAAGGCCTTCCCAAAACTCACAGATCTGTTTGTATCTATGTTCTTTCACATAGTATTTCTCTGTCCAGCCATATGCTGCCTTTTGACTCAGCTGCACCACTCTTTGAGGTCTTGCCATGAAAGGGAGCAAAAGCGGAAAACACACAGTTCAAGATCATCAGAGTTCTTTCAGCTGGGGTCACCTATGCTTTTAAGGCAGAAAATACGTCTTCAGCAATAAGTAAAACACTCTTAACTCTAAGAAAAAGCCTAGATAGTTTGCTTGCATCTCACAAAAAGTCAAAATAGGTCAAATTTAACCTGAGATTATCTTCTACATGGAATCACCTAACGTGGAAAAGCAATGTGATCAGCATCTGGCTATTCATAGCATCAATGGGAAAAGAACCTGGAGCTCCATGACACCAGTGTACAAGCTCGTTCTCCCGCTCGATTGTCTCTCCCAGCTCAGGAGGCCAGTTGCTGTTCTGTTCTTGGTCCATAAGAAAATCAACGCTCTGCCACACAAGCTCCTGATCTGCTGGCTGCAGGTACTCATAATAGGAAAGCAACATCTGAAGGATTGATGAAAGCCCGTGTGCTGCACCTGTGAAGAACAGAGACAGTCAGAGGGTAGGTTTAGGTCCTACCTCCATCTCATGGCAACTTTCCCTTGGGACCAATTTCCTTGTCAAGTGCCTGGCTCTTTCATCTTCTTTATGCATAGCAGTAGTAGTAAGTGCTTGGAATAAAAGCTTTCTAGGTGCATGACACTATGATTTGTTACTACTTCTGTCATTTCCAGTTCCCTTAGCTATGCAAAAATATATATGAATTTTTTCTGCTCTCACTCTGATATGACTGCAACTCAGTGCATGCAGTTAAACTGAACCTAAACCGAACAGTGTTTCAAGACGTTATTCTTCTTGACTTGACTGCTGAATTTGCACTGTTACTCTGAAGTCCTTGTTGAGCTCAAACTGAAACTGGGCCGTAAATGGTATTCCCAGTTAGCGACTGACAGTGCCAGTCAGCTAAAACCTGAATTTCAGTGCAAGAACTGTCTGTACATGACAGGGTCTGTAGAGCAGCACCACTCTGCTCCCCTGCCAGAGAATTCACTAACATCTGCAAACCACTTTCTGCAGTGTGATACCATGCCTCGAGGACTCCACTAGGGACCTGCTCAATGACCTCTCACCACTGCTTCAGATGCGCTCCAGCTCAGCTGCTCACGATGGGGAGGAGCTGACCGTATGCTTGAGCTGCATGGCTACAGCCAAAAAACGCTCTGCGAGTCCCCGCGTGGCAACAGCAGCTCACAAGTCACACCCCCTGACGGTTCTCCCTGGTAACCTCCTTGCCACAGGCACGGGCACCGCACCTCTGGCTGCCTCCAGCTGGCAGGGCAGATGTACCGGGACAGACGGGAGACGAGGGACCGAAGGTGCTGCCTGCTGCTCCCCCGGCCCAGCACAGGCACCTCCTGCACGCCCCAGCACAAGGCAGCACCGGTCCTTCCCTCCAGCTCCTCAGTCCCACTTTGCAGTCTTAGGAGGTTGGATGGTCCCAACTCAGTCAGAAGAAACCCCACCCTTCAGGTTTTGTATGTTTTATTTCTGAAGCGTCTACTGGCTCAGCCTCTACACCCAACATCACTTTCAAAGTAGTTGGTGTGTTTTACTCACCGAGATACTCTGTCCCGTAGTAGGAATACATGAGTGGGAACGGTTTCCTCTTCTTCACTGCATATTGCTTTCCTGATTCTAGTATGGCGAGGCAAATTGATTTTATTTGTGCTGGGGTCAGCACCTAAACAGAAACATCAAAACAAACATCAAGTTTATTACAATAATTTTCTTATTTAGGACTCTGCTTTTTTGCTGGTGCACAAGATACAGTCCTGCCTTTAATCTGAGCATGCCGTAATGTACATCCGGATTAAGAGTTCCTTACATAAAACAGTAAATTTACATAATGTTGCTCAAAACCAGTGTTTCATCCCGTCTCTGGAAAGTGATTGTCAAATCTTTAGCTGCACAGAGGAGGTGAAGAGAGGCTCACGAAGAGCTCCTGCCTTTCCTTCCGTCAGTCTGATGAAAGCTGACAACAAGCACCAGGCAAGCTGCAGAGCAACAGCCTCCAAACTGGAGGAAGAGACATTAGGAGAAGATAAAGGAAAACAGACCCAAGGAAGAAGTAAATGTTACAGGCTTTATTGGGACATACTGATATTTCTCAGACAATATAAAAAACAGGAAGGAAGGAAGAGGTTACTAAATTTGCCTGAAAATCAATACTACACGTGGGGGTTCAGAAACATCTTAGTAGAAGATGTCTTTAATGCAGTTGTGGGGAATGGCTAATGCCTTACTCTTAGCTGCGTCGGAAGTAAATAAGCCTGACAAATTACACATTTCACCAGACATGAACTTTTCCAAGTTACTGACCTAAAGCATTCGGTGAGAAATCGGTTTTAAAGGTTGTAACTACAGCTCTAATGATATGCAATTCACTGCAACCATCAGCAATTTCCGCTGTGCCAGCCACATCTGTACATTACTGACCAACACCTAGGTCACTAAAATAATTTAGCTGAAGCGGTGTTTTGACTTTAAGGGAAAGCCTGTACGGCAGCTGTACTTTGCAAAAAAAAAAAATATTTCAACCTATGAAAAGAGAACTGAGAAAGAAAAAAGGCAAAATGAGGCAGAGAAAAGAAAAAAGGCTGTAGAAATAGCCTTGACAAGGTAAATAGTAATCCTAAAACTAACTGGAATGACAAGATAATGTCTTTAAAATGTTTCTGAACACATTTGGGTTTTCTACAATTTTTATTGTCATAGGATTTACAATTACTTCTTCAAGTTTAAAAAATACTGCTAGCATTAAGTATGGAGGCAACATCTGTTACCAACCATATTCTCTCATTTGACACGTAGAAGATGCTACAGATAATTAATGTCACTTAGAACTTGACTGAAAACCAATGGCTGAAAAATCTTGCTTGTCTATCTTACCTTGCTCTCTGATAACACGGCATTTAATTTACAGCTGCTCCAAATGACTATGGTATTTGTACAACCTGGAGAACAACCCACTTCTGAACTTGATTAGTGTTCTTTAATGTTACTGCAGTAGAAGTAAATAAGCCATTAACATCTGGAGACTTCACTCATTTCCAGTCATTTTTAAATGAATTGGTCTAGCTTCACTGAATTTAAAGAAATGGTTGAAATCCTAAGCAAATGAGGAGATCAGGGACATGGTGAGACACACCTCATTCTCTCCAGAGCTCTTGTTTTACTGTCTTGCAGTCTGGGACCTGGTTCTCCAAATTCTATACTTTGTAAAAGGATTAGCAAGGTAACCCTTGAAAAATAAATGTAAAGGAGAGGATCTCCTTGTTGTAATTCTGGAAGGCAAAGGCACGCTGATTAGAAAAATCATAATCAGTTCATTTTCTGTATGCAATGGTTCCTTTACTTAATATATCAACAGGCTTTCAATACAAATCATGTTTTGTGAGGCATATTTTTATGTCCAGCACATTTAATTTTTAAATTGATTTAATGACTATTATAAAATGCTGATTGTGTATTTTAAATGGATTTAAACTTCTGCCCAAATCCAGCCTTTGCACAATGCTGCATAGAGAAGTATCAGCTAGCAAGAAATGCACTGTTTGCCATTTTTTAATATAAAGTAAGTGTAAAAAGTCAAACATTTAAGCACTAGGATTACTTAAGTGTATAGACAGTATTCCCTTTTGGCTGGCCTAATGATATATGCTAATGAATATCACCTCTTTTTCAGAATGCAAAAAAAGCCCGCTTACAAAGCCAGATGAAAAAAGATTATTTCAAATAACGATTAAAATGGATGATAGAAATCAACCTGTCCTGACCCACTTCCACGTTACCAAAGAAAATGGAAAAGAAGATAACCTGTGTATCTTGAAAGCAACCTTCTCTCTGGCCACTCGGACTGACCTGTACGCTTAAGGCAGGTAGGAGATGTGTCCTAAATAATAGCTAAATAAGAAAATTTTTGTGCTGGCTCCAGGTATCTCTTACCAAGTGTCTCAATCCACAGTCACTGTGGGGCTGCTGCCTGTTTTCCAAAACACTTAAATATGAAGGATTTGTATTTGATCCTTATTCTAGGAAATGGTTGGCTGGAACAGGGACCCTCGCTTACCTTCATTGTTAGTGGCCTTCCAAAAGTTGAATGCTCAGAGATCACATTTAAGATCTCCATCGGCGTGCTACATTTTATTTCAAGCAAATCTGTGTCAAAACCTCCTCAGATTTCTTTCACCTTGCCAATAAATAAATAAGATAAATCCATGGCTAGTCCCTGTATGCTCCCCTCACAATATCTTTAACGAAACAGCTAAAAACTTATGACCAGAACAACAATCATAGAATACATTAATCATAATCACAGATGGTGTAGCCGTGGTTCTACAAAGTTCATTTTCACTTCAGTGTAGTCGCAATGCCTCCTTGCCCCTGGGAATTACTGAAGCAATATATTTAATTAGGGATGGCAAAGAAATAGACTGATCATCCCAAAGGCTTTGAACGGATAAATTGCATATTGATATCACGTCCTCTGCTGAAAGCTGTCAGATGCTTTGATGAAGAATAAAGCCAATATAAGAATATGCTACCCAGAAAAAAATTTCATGCTTGAGATAACTACATTTTTTGAGAAACTTCTTGAATGTCATTTAATATGAGCTGGCTACAGAGTAGGTAAAATTATTCTTTATCATGTCAGTACTCAGCCAAAAGACTACTGACACTAAGAGATAGATTGGTGGTGGTTTAATATTTCAGCTAACTCTTTTTGCATTTTTAAAGACACCGCAACCCATCCTGTCACATTAGAAGCGTTCATTTTAGTCTCCTCACTAGACTGAAGTTTGGAATACATGCATTCCACATTTCCGCTGCAATTTCTGTGTCAATTGGTCAGTGGAGTTCTTTGTTTTCTGTTTTAAATCATTGTCCAGTGATGCTGTGTGCTGTTAAGTAACTGTTCCACTTGCACTGGTGACAGCTGCGTTCCCATATACCCTTTACTTTAAGCACAACGCTTACACAGCACTCTAATACTTCATGTTTGTACTACCGCCTGTGTCTAGGACCCCCTTTTTTTATATAGTAAAAAAAAACCACTGCGATTTCTAAAGTCTCTCCATTTTTCTCCTGCGCCACTGCAGACAATATGCCTGCTCCCGCTAAGGCACTCCATAAACTTGTGAATTTTTTAAGGCAGGGACTTTATTCAGTAGACCCCTGTTAAAAGTCAGCGAGGAAGTGCTACATCTACAGCAATCACAGAACATCGCCCTTTTTTTGTTGTTAGCAGTCTTACTTAACCTGAGATCGTTTAGTTGGAAGCAAATAATTTTCACAACTCCTTTTAATCTACTGAGACAGATTTCATAATGTATTGGCTACAACAATGCTAGGCCCTAGATCTGCATTTCAAAAACCGTAGACGGAAACCTTGACCTTGAGGATTAGGCAGAAGGAAGCAGGGCTAGCTCTTCTTTGCTTCTGGTTACAGTAACATTTTCAGCACCTCATCATTCCTCTGAACGCTTGCTACAAGCCCCTTGGCTTGGGATTTGCCTTTTGAAAACCCCTGCTACATGAAACTGCATACTGTATGGAGTACATTTGAGGACTGTAAGCTTTTCATTCTTTTAAAAGATCTGTATTTCTTTTCTTAGGGCTCTTTCCTGTATGTAAGTTAACAGAAGGCGTTACTGAATGCCAAGTATCATTACCTTTTTATAGATGCATCAGTACTTTTGGGAGGCAACAACTACACTTACATTATTGTGGAAAAAGCCTTCTTCTGTGCATATAAAAATTTTAATATGCATCTAACATGTCAAACCTCTCTCTGTCACACTTCTAAAAAGCCATTTACATGAATTTGATCATACAGTTTTTCTGATGCTGTAGAAAGTGTCAAAAATAAGCTGAAAAATTGGGTCAGTCTACAAATAATCTATCAGGAGCTTTGCCATTAGTCTCCTATGCTGGAAGCCCGGCAGAGGGAGCTTGTGAACTAGTTACAATACCCAAAGATGCTGTAAAAAAAAAGATACACATTTCTGTGTTCAGACCAACCTGGTAATTTACTGATACCTTACTGCACTGCGCGATGTTTAAGTTCACTCCTTAAACTTGATCTTTTTCTACCAAAGACAGGGGCTGGGATTGTTCAGGGACCTTTCCGTGCAATGTCATGGCCAGTTCTTTTTCTTCTTTCAGCTGATGCCAACACCTGAAGCCATGCAAGAGTAGCAGGTACAAAGACAGAGGGGTCTGCCTCCCCGTCTTGTTATTCCAGTTCGATTGATGTACCTCTCCTGCAGCACAGTGGGAAGCCCAGCTCCAAGCACAGAGCTCTCTACTTTCCTTATGAGCAGTGGCATGTTCACCCCGTCTTTAAAAAAAAAAAAAAAAAAAAAAAAAAGAAAATTTAAATCTGAAAACTTTGTTCAAGGAATGGGATTCATTCCTGAAGTACTACTGGTGCTGTTGCTGATACAGTATGTTTCATGCTGTAACAGCATCACAAATAGTGCTTTCTAGAGAACATTCTTTCCCAAACTTCTCAAAATAACACAACTACATGACAGTGTGTGTAGACTCAGCCCAACTACTAACCTGATTGTGTCAGTTCATTGGAAAATGCTACCTGACTCCAATCTTGAGTAAAACAGACCACTATGGAGCCCATTGGTGTTGCTTGTTTAACATGTAAATTTGGGGGGGTTTGAGGCTTGCCCTTTGCCTCAGCAGCATTGGAAACAGCAACATCAGTCCTGTCCTGTTTCATGGGTCACTAATTGTGAGTCCAGTCAGAAACTGAAGGCTGCATTTATTCCTGATGAATTAGATTACTGGTAAAGAAGACAATACAGCACTTCTTTTATTGCTAACAGAGTACAAAACTTCCACAGGTCTCACTTGCCAGGACCATATAGCACCAAGCCCATCAAATTTTGCTGTTAAACCTGTCCTACAGAAGGGGCAAGTTTCGGACCCGCCTGCAAATGAAGTGTTGCACAAAAGGATGGAGCAGAAGTGTTACTGTAGCTAGGAGGCTGGCTGGGAGCAGCTGGTGCTGCTACACAGTCAGTCAAATGCAATGAGCATCTGCATTCATTGCGTCTCAAACACTGTAGAGTTTCAAGGAAAAAAAGAGCAATTGGCCTTTCTTCAAGCTCCCCCCCATCCTGGGTCAACCAAGAGAGAGGGAAAACATGAGTTGCTCTGGTTATACTCCGTTCCTCTCCCCTGTCTATCTCCCCCCCCCAATTAATGACAGGCCCCAACATCTCTCACGCAGCT